CTGGACTCAAACAAGAAAACAAGACAAGTGGTTTGAGGATTGGCATCTGTCGGCTTTGGTGGCCAGGAATATTTGGTTCCCATATTGGGTACTCATAAGCCGATGTCATCAACTGATCACTGTGACTTTGTTATAGACCTTCTAGGGAGGGTCTATTATTATCCTCATTTTACAGATGAAGAAACTGAGGCAATCAGAGGTTCAGCGACTTGCCCCGGGTCACAAAGCTAGGAAGCGTCTGGGGCGGGATTTGAACCCCGATCTTCCTGACTTCAGGCCCAGTGCTCTAACCACTGATCTACCTTGCAGAAAGTGCCTACTAGCACAGCAATTCATGCTAGGGAGACTGTTCTCCCTGAGAGATCCACAGACTTATCATCATTAGCTAAGTTCTCCCTCCTAAGCCTTGGGAGCTCAGCTAGGGCATTCCATTTTCAGAGGGACAGTATAGTTACTCTGCTCCTAAGTTCTCCTTGGGCTCCTATCACCTAGGTCAAGTTCCAACTCGAATGCTTTATAGGCAACCAGGGTCCCCTGCCCATACACCCTCCCCCTGCCCCCAGCCCCCCTAGCCTCACCTCATACGACTAGCTACCAGCTGTCACGACTCTGGACTCCAGCCTTGCCTCCTCAACCCCTCCTGCCCTCTCAGACCTCGGTGCTTTTTCTCCCATTGTTTCTGCCTCACCAGCTGATTTTATCCCCTTCCTTTCATGTCCAATGCCAATGTCTCCTCCTCCTCCTCCTCCAGGAAGTTCTCCCGGATAACTCATAGCACCTCTCCCCACTCAGAACTCACATGGCACTTCAGTGTGAACCTAATGCCTCTACCAGGTGATGTGTTTTCTACCTGCCTGATCCCCTCATTAACACTAATTGGCAATCTCCTTAAGAGCAGAGATTGTGTCCTAATTAAGCCTCTACATAGTGGGAGTTTTGTTAATGCCACCATCCAGCAGAACATAGGACACTGAAGAAACAAGGCTGCAGAAACACTTCCTTTCAATGTGGAGGAACGCAGGCCAACAAGGGGAAAGGGAGAGTCCACAACTGTGTGACCTTGCCAATTTCTGATCAGTTTATCAACAGAAAAGGGGAGAGGTCTCTGCTCTGATCTACAAGTGAGTGTCCTTTGATCAGTCTAATAGGTGGAAGTGAGAGCTAAGCTGAGCTAAACAGCACTCCCACAGCAGACCAGTGCCTGGCTTTTCCTTGGCAGCAGATGACCCTGGCCAGACAGGTCCGACACTCCTACTCCTCCTCACCCCCCAAAACGTGTTTCTACACTGCAGCATTAGGTCAGGCAGCTAAGAGGACACTGGTGCTGCCCAAAGTTCCTGGATTTCAGCTGCTTCCACATGTCTCCATCCCCACAACTCCTAGCCATCACATTGTCTCCTAACTGGTTTCCTTGTCTCTCTCCAGCCATCTTTCACTAACTGCCCATGACCTTCCCAAGGCACACCTCTGGTCAAGTTAATTCCCACTCGGTGGTTCCCCATTGCCTAGGGATCATTTCATTGATTGTACTTATATCCTCCATGCCTAGCACGGTCCCTGGCACACAGTAGGTGCTTGATAAGTACCTGTCCATTGAAACAATCCTCAATATGTCAAGAATCTGTGATTTTTTCCAAGTTTGGGAATGTCCTCCTTCAAGGTAGATGATGACCTCTCTCTGCCATAGTAGGTAAGTCAGAGATTTGCCTGAGGATCAGAAAGGTTAAGAGATTTTCCTGTGGTCATACAGCTGGTGAGTGCCCATCATACTATACCGCATCTACTTTTCTATGACAAATTCTAAGAGGAAGCAGTAGCTCCTCCCCACTGCTCTCTTCACCTATACAAAGTAACTCACATTTCTATATCACCTTAAGACACAGAGAGCATTTTTTCATAACTTTGCAAGAGAGGTAGTTATAATTATCTCCATCCCATGAATGGGGAAACTAAGGCCCATCTGGGTGGTGCAATGGAAAAAGTACTGGATTTGGAGTCAGGAAGACCTGAATTTGAATCCTGCCTCAGACACTCAGCTGTGACCACTGGCAAGTCACTTCACCATTCTGCCTCAGTTTCCTCATGGGTAAAATGGGAATGATAATAACACCTCCCAGAGCCATTGTAAGGGTCAGATGAGATATTTGTTGAGTGCTTAGCCCGGTGCCTGGCACATGGTAGGCACTCTATAAATGCTAGCTAGTCGTTCTGAAGCTGCAATCTAAACACAGGTCTCCTGCACAACACTGTCCCTACAGAAGTCCCTCCACTTAAGCCTGGCATTCGGGACCATCCACCCTTCTCATTCTCTGGGTGTAGATCTCACTGCTCCCCAACATGTCCCTTGGAGAGTTCTTTCCCACCTTCTGTGCTTTTGGTCACCATCCCTTCAATTAGAACATCTTCCCTTCTTCTCTCTTGGCAAATGCCAACTTAGTGTCCTCAAGACCTAAAAAATCCTCCCTCCTCCTCCTAGAGATTTCCCAAGTTCTCCAACTGAAGGTGACCTCATCTTCAGAAATTCCTATAGTATTTTGTGCTTCCCTCATCAGTCTTCCAGTAGTTATATAACATAGGACAGGACGTGGTGTGTGGTCTCTCTCACTAGGACCAATGTTCAATGAAGGCAGGGACTGTCGTGAATTCTTCTTTGTCTTGCCCACAGCACTATGCACAATACCTGGAACATAGCAGGGCCGCAGGAAATGAATGAAGGCGGTTCCCCATTTCCTTCACACCAGTGTTAAGAGTGGGCGTGTTTCTGTGGGCCTGTATATAAACACTTGGACAAACCACAGAATCTCACCTTTGTGAACTTGGTAGAAACCAAGAACAGCCTAGAAGAATGAACACTGAACAGATGTGATGGGGTAGGAGAATCAGGGTGCTGAAGAAGAGATCTGCACTGGAAGTCAAGAGATGAACACTCGTTTTAAAGGCAGAAGACCAATTTTTCAAGTCTCACCTCTGACATTTCATAGTTGTGTCATTTTCAAGAAGTCGCTTCCCCTCTCTTAAGTCTCAGTTTCCTCATCTGCAAAATGGACAGAATAAGTGAGCTCTGTACCTCCCAGGTGTGATGACAGAACACTGGTACAAGAACAGTGTGTAACCTTGAAGCACCAAATAGATACTATCTATCCATTACTAGAAGACCTAGATTCTTGTCCTATATCTGCCAATTATATTGCCAGCCTCCCCTCTGGACTTAGCTCCCTCATCTGCAAAATGGAGGGTACAGACTTATGATCCAAGATCCTGAAAAGCAATGCCATCCACCCCAAACAGCATCTCGAGAGGGTTTGACTGGTCACTCTCACGGGTAAGTAGAATAATTGGTTGCACTACGTGGTATAATGAAGGGACCCCAATGTTAACACCTGATACTAACCCCTACCCAAAAATCCCCAATCCCAAACCCTAACCCTTCAGTGCACCTCAGTTAGAGGAGGCACCTAAGTGGTGACCCTGATATATTCTCAAGATCAACTTTTCTCTGTCTGCATGCAAACTCCTGAACTGCTTAATAAAGACCAATGATCTGAATGTCCATAGCAACATCTACATTGCTCTGACATTTCCTTCTAAGGACAATACTCATCCCCAAATGGTTCAGGCTAGAAGTACCTCAATAATGAAATTACTATAATAATGAACACAACATATATTACAAGAAAAAGGGAGCAAAATGGGATAAGGCCATTTTTGAAATGTTCAAGAGTCAATTCAACTAAATTTTATTAAGCACCTACTATGTGCAGGGCACTGTGTGAGGCACTGAGGTGCTAGAGAGTAAGGGGGGGGAAATGTAAGTCCCTATACTCATAAAGCTTACATTCTCCTAGGGATGGGGGGATGGGATGTAGAATAAGATAGGAACATAGGTAAAGCCAAAGATAAAGTACTCTAGAGAACTCTAAGAAAGAAGGCACTTTCAGTTAGGGAGATCAAGGAAGGTTTTCCAGAGGAGGTGGCACCTGAGCTATCTCTAAGGAAGCTGGGAAAAGAGTACATTCCAGTGTGAGACAGCCAGTATGAATATGAGGAGAAAGAAATGAAAGTGTAGAAAGAAGTTTGGGTCATCCCGTGTGGCTACCAGGGCTGGTGAACCTGCGGTGCGTAAAGGAAAGAAATGAAGAGTATGATAAGCACTGAGACAAAGCAAGAAAGGTAGGTTTGAACCAGACTGTGGAGGACCTTAAAGAGCAGGGGAAAGCTGTGTTTTCTCTCAGGGGCAACAGGGAGATGCCGAAGCTTCTTGAGCTTCTGGGGAAATGATTTTGGCAACTACATGGTTTAGCACAGAATGAAGAGGGAGAAGGAAGACAACTGGAGGCAGGAAGACCAGATGTACAGCCATTATGACAGTCCAAGCAAGGTGCGCTAAGAGCCTGAGATAGAGCAGCGGCACTACGCATGGAGACAGAAGCCTCAGGCATTATGGAGGGAGACCTGACAACTCAAAACAATCTCATATAAGTAAAAAAAACAAGCCTGAGTGACATTTCTCCCAGAGCGCTGTTATCACTCCACTTCCACCCGCTCTCCCCAATAGATAGGGATAATAGTACTCGCATCACTGTAAACGTCCTACTCTGATGACTCAGCACGATGTGGAGGTGATCCTAGACAGGCATGCCAGTGGAGCCCAAGCTGTGGCAGGTCCTAAGTTGGAGTTCCTCTACGTATAGGACCAGTGCACATAATCCACGTCGGGTCTGAGGGACCAGCCTACCTAAGCTCATCCCCAGAAGGTTGACACCAGGTAATGACTTGGTTCTGGCCATGCCAACTCATAGGATCACAGAATTTAGACCTTCAAGGGACCTTAGAGTTCATCTAGTCCAACCCCATCATGCATGAAAACTGAAGGCCTGAGAGGGAAAGAGATTTGCTGAGAATCATGAAAGCAGAAAATGGCAGAACTGGGATTAAAACCCACATATCCTATTTGCCCAGAAAACCCCAAATGTGGTCATGAAGAGTCAGACACAACTGAAAATGATTGAACAAAATCCTGACTATATACACAAGGTTCTTTCCACCACACAAACTGTCTACTAAGAGATTACTGTCTACATCAGGAAGAAAAAGTACCCACATCAACAAGATCATGAATCTTTCGAATCTCAAGATCATTCTCTAGTGTGAAGTCTCAAATGATATCCGCATCTGAAGGCTGTCCAATATTCATTTCATTGATAGGGATTTCCACCAGTATGAATTCTCTCATGAATACATATGGCTAATGGTGGCTGTGGCTGAAGCTTTACCATAGTCATTATATTTACAGTTACTTGCCAATATGAATTTTCCGATGTTGAAGAAGTAATGATTTCTTAATAAAGGTGTTCCCACACTCATTGCATTCATAGTGTTTTGCTTGAGTGTGAATTTTTTGATGTTTAGTAACCGATGAGCGATTGCTGAAGGCTTTTCCACATTCACTGCATTCATAAGGTTTCTCTCCAGTATGAATTCTTTTGTGTTCAATAAGGTGTGCACTCCGAATGAAACTTTTCCCACATTCAATACAATTAAAGGGCTTCTCTCCAGTATGAATTCTTTGATGTTGAGTAAGGTAAGCACTGCGGCTAAAGGCTTTCCCACATTCATTACACAAATAGGGTTTCTCTCCAGTATGAATTCTTTGATGTTTAGTAAGAGATGGGTAACTCCTAAAAGCTCGCCCACATTCATTACATACACAGGGTTTCTCTCCAGTATGGATTCTCTGATGCTCAATGAGAGATGACCTTTGGCTGAAGGCTTTGCCACATTCATCACACTTATGGGGGTACTCTCCAGTGTGACGCCTCTGATGTTGAATGACGTATGTGCTCTGGCTGAAGGCTTTTCCACATACATTACATTTGTAGGGTTTCTCCCCAGTATGAATTCTCTGATGTTGAATAAGGTGCGTGCTCTGATTGAAGGCTTTTCCACATTCATTACAATGATAAGGTTTCTCTCCAGTGTGAATTCTTTGGTGTCGAGTAAGATGTGTACCTCGGATGAAAACTTTTCCACATTCATTACACTTATAGGGTTTCTCTCCAGTGTGAATTCTCTGATGTTGAGTAAGGTATGATCTGTCTCTGAAGGACTTTCCACATGAATTACACGCATAAGGCTTCTCTTCAGTATGTATTCTCTGATGATTAATAAGGGATGAAATGTAGCCAAAGATTTTCCCACAGTCATTACATTTATAAGGTTTCTCTCCGATATGGACTTTCAGATGTGTAGTGAAAGATGAACTGCGGGTGAAGATCTGACCAGGTTCATTACAATTATGGGACTTTTGTCCAGGACTAATTCTCTGATTCTGTGTAATGTGTGTATTCTGGCTAAAAGCCTTTCCATTTTCATTATATTTATAAGCCTTTTTCCCAGTATGTACTCTATGATACTGATGAAAGTCTGTGTAGTAACAGAAGGCTTTGCCTGATTCATTACCCTTACAAAATTCTGAGGAGATTCTACTACATTTCATCAGGCTGGAATACTGTTTGAGGCTTCTTCCATATGTACTATATTTACGCAGACTCTTTTTCATAGGAATTTTCTGTGGTGGAACAAGGATGGATCCAACATTGAAGCTTCTTCCAAATTTATTATATTCATGGCCCCTCAGCTTATTAGGAACTTTCCTTTGGGTGACTGTTACTTGTATAGAATCTGTCTCTTGGTTGTCCTGCTGTTCCCCAAACTTGACATTGTATTCCCAGGTATCTCCCAACCTGTAGCCCTGGGAACTAATCCTTGTAAAGCTTTGCAGGGACAGCTCTTCCACAGGCATGCTTAGCTTTGGAGCTAATTCCCTGGCTTCAGGATTAGTCTCCCAATCTGAAAGAACAAAAATAACATATATCGTTTATTGTTCTGAAAGAAAGTAAAATTCTGTAGTCTCCTTCATCAATGAGAATCCTCTTCATACTGGAAAGAATAGAAAAAAAACCAATAAAATCCTACATTTACATAGGACTTCAAATTATAGTTTCATATAGATAGTCACATTGCCTCATTTTTCTCCTCATAACCCAGTAATAACTGAAGGAAAGTTTTAACCATTGCATTTTATAAGTAAAGAAACTGAGACTCAGAATGGAGGAATGATTTGACCAAGAATCATTGACAAAGAAAAACTAGACATGGAGCCCCGTTCTTCTCACTCCTACTCTAATGATCTATTACATGGCACTGCTTCTAAAACATCATCAACAGGAAATGAAGCTTAAAGGTGAGGAAGAGGAAAGAAGAGACACACAGCTCTTATAAATTAGGTCAAGTATTCAGGTCCAAACAAATATAGGGAATGAAAGAACCTATGCACTGCTGGTAATCTCTTGACAAATCATGGGGGATGGAATTGCCAGATTGGAAATGGACAAATGTCTCACTTCTCAAAAAAAAAGATCTATGGAGAAACTCAATTGATTCCGTAACTTAATACACCCCTTAAGGAGTCAGGAAGAAGTAGAGGAACCAGAGAAAGAGCCATAAAAGGAACAGTGAGGTAGGAGTATCAGGAAAGCATGACACCTCTCAGGCCAAGGAACACTTAGAAAGCTGTTGGTGCGCTTGGAGAGAGTTTAGTAGAGGGACAGGGTAGAAGCATCAAGTACAGGCTTTTTTAGAATTAGAGAGAACTGGACATATTTCTAGGCCTATGAGAAGAAACCAATGGAAAGAGAAAGATCCGAAGTTCTTGAGAGAGAAGAGGTAGGATGATTGCAGGAACAAGGCAGGAGGGGATGGAGTCATGAGTGATGGGCCTGAGCAAAGATACCTGGGACAGAAAGTAAGGGGTGTTGGCCTTTGCTTCAGTCACTTCAGCCAACACCGTTTTCCTTTCTCCCCTGGGCCATAACAGTCATATTCCTTTTCTTCTACATGCTGATGCCCTTGCTCACCATCATGCTCATTTTCTTTGCCATCTGGCACATTATAGTATCTGATGAACTGAAGACTACAGAGCAATGAAATATACTCAATCCTCCTGAACTTCTAGAATATCTCTTCCACACTTTCTTCTGTTATCATGTTGCCCTGTGCAGTACTATGGGTTACACTGGGTCTCAATACACACATTTGAAGGTATATGAGGAGACGAATGATGAATAGACCAAGATTTTATGAACCTACAACCATCATGAATGCAGATATTCCAGCAGATGACAGAAAGAAGGATGAAGCAAATTAGCTTTTTACCTATTATTTTTTTTTTACTACCTCACTGGCATGATTTATGTTTCAGTAAGCTCCTAATGTACTCAGTCCAGGTAAGTGCATGCAAATGGAATAGAGTGAAAGGATTCTATCCAACAAAAACCTGTTTCTGAAATAAGCTTAAAGAATATTATTAGTTACTTTAAAAAACAGACTCCTTATTTTTAAAACATTTCCACATTTTTTATTTGTGGAAAGACTGATTTGATATGTTATGCTTGGACAAAGAAATTATAAAGAATTATGCATGAATGAATACAAAAGGATTACCTCTGGTATTAAAAGATTCGAACCTGTACTCCTTAAGGAACAGTCACAATTTTCTGAATAATTGTATTAATTACTTGACCGTCCTTAGTCTATTGGAAGTTTTCGTTTAGAAGAGCTTGTAAATAGCTTATTTTGGTTTTATTGGAATACCTACTAATTAGATTAAATGCTTTAGAAGGATCGAAAACTCTGCATATGTGACCTTGTGGGAAGCCTTATAGGTTTCTTCATATATCATGTAGAAGATTATATAGATATATTTGCAAAAATAAGAACAGTGGGACTTTTTTCTTAACATCTGAATATTAGCCCTATATACTGTATGACCAAGGAATTTGCTACAATAGTTTCATAAAATGTATATACATTATTCTTAAGCATAAGTGAACTTAGTAACAGTATGTACTAAATTATCTTTGAAGGAATGCATTTAAAGTTATTTTGAATGTTTTATTTGTAGAAATCACTTAGTAAGAAATTCAGTATTCTAATTGTTACAATTCAGTGATAAAGGATATTTTTTTGGCTTATTCATTATTTAATGAAGTAAGCTGATGGCCAAAAAAGGACACTAGGAATTCAACAGCCTTTCCTGCTCTTCCCCATGACCCCCATCCACTCTGGCTTTAGCACAGCTCAAGCTCGCAGGCCTGGACCTCTTCACCTCGGACTGCTGCTTATTGCAATATTACTCTTCTTTCAAGGTCAAACTCAGGTGCCATCTCCTTTATGAGACCTTCCTTGCTTCCTGAAAATGAAACTGATCTTTCCCTCCTCAAATCTGATAAATGACATTCTTAAGGACTTTTAAGCTATACCTTAGATTTTCAGATCAGAAACGAAGAGAGAACATTGTGAATCCACCCTGCTGTTCCTCAGTGCAACACAATAAAAGTCTAAAATGAAGACTTCTTTTCAGTGCATTGTTTTAAAGATTGCAAAGAGCTACTTAAGACTGTTGAAACTACAATAAAATAATGTATACTGAATTTTTTTTAAAAAAGACAAAAGGTAAGGAAAAACAGATGAGGCTGTCGAAAGCTGAGGAATGAAGAAGGCAAGCTGAGGTAGTCACTGTCAGAAGGCACAGATCTCTATGAAGTAGGTAAGGTCATCTGCTTTAATTAGAAAGAAGGGTATATTCTGAGGTTTAAAGAGAGAAAAGGCTTAGAAAAATCACTGTGGGAAACAGGATTGAAAGGAAGTTAACAAAAATAAAGCATAAGGATTTTTGTTAAACAAAAGTACATTAAACAAAAGTAAGGTTTCAATACAGGTTATATTTCAAGTGAGTGGAATCAGCTCAACTTTGTGAATTGTCCAGTGATGCTTAGCAGACTGAGAACAAAAGCCAAAAGAGAATAACTAGAAATGTTGGCATTTATCCAGACTTGTGGTTTAACAGGCTGGAACACTTAGAAGACTGGAGTGGAGGAGGGCTGAGGCAGAAGAGGGAAAGGTTCTAGGGCAGTGGCTGGTCATCTTTACAAGTAGCTGATGGGGAAGGCCAAAGCAAGATGCAAAGGAAAACAAAGCCAACATGGGGAGAAACACCTAGAGAAAAGGAATGAGCCAAGGGACTGTAGGTCACAGTGAATGTGAAGAGCAGGTTTAGCGGGAATTAATGAAATGGAAAAGGGAAAAGGTTAGGAGGTCATGGTCAGAAAGTGAAATGACAAAGTTTAGGCTCTTGACAATTAAATGAGTTGAAAAGCTTGAAGGAATGGCCATGCTGGCTTGTGACTGAAATTAGTGGTGGTCGTTGGCATGAAGGAATTACACAGTCACTCTGTTAGATGGGTTATCAACATAGATAAGAGGCTGGATGGAGAAGAGGAAAAGATGGAGCTTGGTGCTAAAATCCTTCATTCAATAAGAATTTATTAAGTGCCTGGATTCGGTGCTGAAGATTCTGTCTTCAAGGAGTTAATATTCCATCTGGAGAAACTACCTCTGCATCTAAAAGCAAATAGAAAATGTAGACCCACAATGAGTCCACATGACTGGGGGTAGGAGAGGGCCCCCAAAGAACCTCTGCAGAAGGAGGTGCCTCAGCGATGTTCTGAAGGCAGCTGAGGATCCCACAGGGCAAAGAGGAGAAGGCAGTGCACACCAGGAATTCAGGGCCACCTGTGTAAAAGCAGGGTGGTAGGAGCCACACCGTCCTAAAGGGCTGTTTGGACAGAAGTCAGACAGCAGGAAGGATGGCCTGGAACAGATGAGTTTGCAGGAGTTTTTTACCTTTTAGTCTATGACCCCAAAGATCCTGCCCTGGCAGTCTGGTGAAGCTGAGGTAGCCCTTCTTATGCTTTGAAATAACTGGAGGCAATAGTACATTTCAACTAGAGGTTAGTAAAAATAAAGGGATGATTTCTTTCCCACCTAAGCTCATGGACCCCCCGGAAATCTAGCCATGGACCCCTCTGAGATCTAAGGATTCCAGGTCTTATGAATGTCCATATCCCCATATTCCTGTGTCCTATAAATCCCAGAGGGGTTGTGGGAAAACAGGCCCACTAATTCATTTTTGGTGAAACTGTGACCCTAGACAAGTCACTTAACCTTTGTCTGCCTCAGTTTCCTCACTTATAACATGGGGAAAAGAACACAGTACCTACCTCTCAGGGTTACTGTGACGATCAAAGGAGATAATATTTGTAAAGCACTTAGCACAGTGACAGTTACTTACTAGATGCCATAGAAATAAATGACAGTTATTAATAATAAGATTTTGCAACAGTATCCCCAGTGCCTAGCACATGGTAAGCACCCAAGAAATGCTTTTTCCCTTCACTTCTCATTTGAAGGTTTCAGGGATGTTGGGCCTGAGAAGACCTCACAGCTGTCTTCAAGCATTTCAAAGAGATTAGGATGGTTCCATATGGTCCCAAAAAGGAAGAATTAGACACAAGGAGACACAGATGCTGAGAGGAAGGATGAGGTCCAATATAAAGACCAATCTCCTGGCGATTATAAGTGTTCAAAAAAGAACCAGGCAGGGGGAAGAGGGGAGGGGGGAGGGGGAGGGGGGTGTACAGAAGAGGGAAAGGGGGAGTATGGCATTTCCAGTTAGCACCGTGCTCCCCAAAGAGGCTGGATAAGCCCTTGCTGAGTGTGCCACAGAAAGGTACCCTGTTCTAGGTCACTCTGTAGACAACTAGTCAGGAATAGATATTTGGCTCTGGGAATCATTAGCACAGAAAAGAGAATGTTATGAATGTATGAGCTTCTGAAAAGGTAGAGAGCACAGGACAGAGCCCTCGGGGCAGCCAGACAACCTGGATGATGCTTTGTCTAACAGGCGATCAAATATTGGTCAATTTTATTCCTTTTGGGGCCTTTTCTTTTCTTTTAAAAAGTATTCTTTATTATGAGAGATAGCTGTCTGGGAGAGGGAAGTAGAGGAAATTGGAGAACTCTAGGCAATATAAAATTAAAAGATATTGACAAAGATCAATTTTTAAAAAGTCACGAGGTTATAATGTCCAACACTCGGAAATAAAGCAAAGATGCTGAAGAACATGAAGGCTGAGACAATAACCATGGAGAAAAGATCCCTGGATGTAGCCTGAAGGTGGCCATGACCTTCAAGAGCAGTTTAAGGATTGTGCTGGGGCTCAGTGCTTAGCAATGAGAAAGTGGAAACCAGTGAATGTAGGATGTTTGTAAATCTGGCAGGGTAATGATAAGAAACTGGATAGCACCTGGAAGGAGCAGCAGAAGCAAATAAGAATTCCCACTGCTGGGGCAGCAAGATGGGGCAGTGGATAGAGCACCAGCCCTGAAGTCAGCAGGACCTGAGTTTAAATCCAGCCTCAGACCAAACACCTGACACTTACTAGCTGTGTGACTCTGGGCAAGTCACTTAACCTCAATTGCCTAAAAAAAAAAAATTCCCACTGCCCTTTAAAAAAAAAAAAGGGTCACCCTAAGCACTGGAAACAAAGGAACCAGCCTGAGAAGGAGCTACTAAAGATGCTGCAGAGATACAATCTCTGATCCAAAGCAAAGGTGGAAAGGTTAGATGGAGAGAGAAGAGAAACGTCTTCTTCTGCACCAGGTATCCGGGATAGCCAGACGCTGGGAGCTCATGGAATCCAAGCTCCAATCAGCTGACGCCCATTTCCCAAATGGCCATCTAAGTTTTTGTGGGCAGTTACTCAAAGCTGCATGGTTTTACTTCCTTACCTGCACCGGGGCTTCCTGGGATTTCTCTCTCCACTGTCCATGGCTCTTCTCCTCCTTCTAAACGAGAGATCACAACAGGTGTGAAAACTGAAAACCCTACTCGTGGAGAAAGAAAAGAAGATGTTTGCTCATGCTATAGGCAAAGGCACCTCAGAATTCAATCCTAGACTTCTCATTAAGGAAAAGAGGTCGTTTTAGGAAGGCAAACATGAGTATAGAAAGGCCTTTGTGGTGTTCAGTATTGTGTTTCCAGAAACTATAAGGGGACGGGTCACAAGTCACAAATACGATCAGAGCTTGGAAGGCTCACTTAGCCCTCTCCTGGTTAAAAGGATGGAATCTTCTCACAGAAACACTGGGAACCAAGAAAGAATTCACAATGTCAGGACATTTGCAATGACAGAGAAGGTCCAGCCTCAAGAACCACATAATGAATTTACTCATCTCTAATTCTATTTCTAAAACAACTTTTCACCAGGGAACAAAGAGAAGAATCCTCTACTGTCTGAAAGAAAAGAGAATTATCAGGTCCCCTCCCCCCCCAATCCAAAGCTCAGCTAATCACCTCAGATCATCCCAGGGTGTTCAACAACACAGGAAAACGAGAAGTCAGAAAAGGGAGACTGAGTCACAAGGGCTTACCTAGAAAAATTAGGTTTCTGTAGTTCTCTAGCATCACATCCCTGTACAGCTGTCTCTGAGTAGGGTTCAGCTGTCTCCACTCGTCCTCAGTAAAATCCACAGCCACATCCTTGAACGTCACTGATTTCTGAAACACCAGAGTCATTTGTGTTCACTCCAGGATCTTCTGCTCAAGAATCAGAAGGTCATAAAAGACCCAAGTAACCTAGGCCCGGTTCCCTCTGAACACTGGGAACCTGCCCCTCTAGCCAGGCACCATTCTTGGAGCTCCAAGTAAGGAATGCTGGGTTTTTGTGCTCAAGTTCAGAGAATCACCCAAATGTAGACTCACGGCCTAAAAGGTGGGAAGGACCTCCATCCACAGTATGACCTGTGTTTGACCAAGAACCCCTTCTTCAACCTTCCCAAGCCCCTACCACCAGTGCAGCCCAAAACCAGTCTCATCTTTGGTCAGGGGCTATTAACCTTGGTGTGTCCTGGACCTCTTTAGCAGGCTGACCCAATCTATGGACTCCTTGGAATGATAGGGTTCTATATATAAAATAAAACACTTCAGATTACAATGGAAACTAATTATACAGAAATACAGTGACCAGACTATTTTTTTAAAATTCCTGGATCCCAGGTCAAGAACCCTGCAGGGAATTATCCAGGGTAATTAGAAGTTCAATAAATGACTCGGCCAGAGTCAGCTTAACAAACATAAAAATTCTTTCTTAAGAATTTTTTAAATTTTAAAACATTTTTAAATTTCTATTTTGTTTCCTTTTCAAGTCGGGAGTCTCTCCCTTCCCACTTTCCATCTCCCCCCCCAAAAATAAGAGCCATTTTTCACAAAAGGAAAAGAGAAAACAACCATTTCTCCATGTCATGTACTGGCCAGACCAACTAAACTGGAATCTAGGAGAAAAAGAGGGAGCCTGGGAGAAGAAAGAGGGAGCCAGAGAGTCAAGGTCACGATGAGTGCAAAGAACAAGCATGGAGGGCATTAGGGAGGGAAGAAGTGGAAGGACAAGAGACTGTGGTCCGATTTCAGGGTCTTAAAAGCAGAGTGCTTTGGGGTGATGGTGAAGTCTAAGTGTGACGTAGGGTAGAAAGAGAGGTTAGAATGGAGGAACTAGACAGACTGTGAGGACAAGGAGTCATTAGTGTGCATTAATGTGACTCATTAATGTACTGAAGCCAGTGATGATGATGATAACGGCAGGAAATGTATGGAGAAGACATAGCAAAACAAGAACGTGTGCAGGGAGAGTGGATAACGGTGACAAGGACTTGGAGAGCACGACAGACTCAGCTGAATCACAGATTTAGAGTTGAGAGAAACAATAAAGGTCATCTAACACAAACACTTAACTTTTTTTTAACAAACAAGGAAACTGAGGCCCAGAGAGGTTGTGTCCAAGGTCATGTAGGCAAAAGGTGGCAGAGCTAGAGCTCTGACCCCAGAGCCAGGTCACTTCCCCCTGTGCCTTACTGCCTGCATGGCACAGACACCAAAAGTGAAAGGGTCCAATCCAAATTTAAACGCATACCTGGGCCACTTCCTCAGCCTCCCATCCCACAAGCTCAAAGGCAGCATAAGAGAGATGGAGTAAAACCAAGGGATTTGGAGGTGGAAGAGCTGGGTTCAAATCCCACTTCATATTTTTAGGACTTTGAGCAAACCACTTAAAACCCTCTGGGCCTGTTTCTTCATCAATAAAATGCACAGTCGGATAACACACTCTCCAAAGTCCCTTCTAAGTTTAAAGCTAGGATTCTATATCCCTGAAATCTTCCACATCTTCTCATCTTCCACATAATTAACAAGTTATGTAGCAAGTAGTAAATGCAGTAATACATATGAAAGTTCTAATTATAAAATGCGACACAAGTATACATAGTAATGATAAGGGCGCAGTGGAGAAAGCACTGGGACTAAAGTCAGGGAGACTCGAGTTCAAATCCGGCCTCAGACACTTGGTAGCTGCTGTACCCTAAGCAAGTCACTTCACTTCTGCCTCAGTTTCCTCATCTGCAAAATGGGGATCATAATAGCACCTACCTCTCAGGGTTGGCCTGGCACATGGTAAGCACAATATAAATGTTAGCTATTATTTTAAAACGCAATATATAAGGGGACCCATCTTGGGCAGTCTCACTCACTGACCTTGGAAGCTGGCACACTTGCACCCCCCTCCAGAGCACCCCTGTCCATGTCCTCTTCTCCCTCCCAAGGCTCAGGAGCAGCTATTACCTTATTAAGCGATATCATCTCTCTAACTGGGACCTTCACGTGGGGATCTGAATGTCTGTCACCACCAGGAAGTGTCTTGTCCATGCCAGCTCAATACCTGTACATTTTAAGGTATACATCAGAGTCAAGATGAGGCGCCCAGCAGCCTGAGTCACACCACCCAGAACCCTTCAGATTGTCAAAGCCCAAGCCTATGGATGGGTGAATCCCATTCTAAAGCATAAATAGAAACTCTGGGAGTTGTGGCCAATAGAAATACTTATGTCCATGCAAATATGTGAACACTCTGTCGTTCTTCCCATTTTCTCTCCTTTCTCAGTCTGGAAAGATTAAACAGACATTGAAGAGTGTATTGGACGCTGGAGGCATGAATAAGAATCTGAACTAAGTTAGGAATCAAAAGTTCCAAAAATACACTTATTTGATGAACTTCAAACTGAACCTCCTTCAAAGAAAAAAAAAAGATTATATGAAAATAACTGTGTCCATGACAGAAATTGGAGTGACTGAAATGACAATTAAACAGTGATTTCTGGCAAACATTTTTCCTTTGCCAGAGAAACTGCAGCAACTTTGAATTCCCAAGGGGATTGGAGGAGGGTCAAGGAGGACAAAGCTTCACTTTAACTGCCATACACACATATGTATGTACATATGCATACACCAGTGAGGAGGGGGGGAGTTACGAGAACTTAGTCACTGCCCCCATCCTCTCTCCATCCTGTTCGGATTTCTTCCTCTCTGATGACACTTTACCACCAGCTTACTGACATGTTCAGCTTTTGGCCTTCCTTTGGGCCTGGTAGGCCCACTGAAACTACTATTATGTTTTTTATTTCTGAACCAAGGAAGAAAGTAGACAACTAGAGGTGTGTTGTTTAAGGTTTTCTGTATCCTGGACCACTGCAGTAATCTAGGGAGGCCTAGGGACCCTTTCTCTGTTTTTTAATGCATAAACGACAAGAGAGTACCAATCACATTAAAAGTTATAAAACAATTTTAAGCAAGTTTATGAACCGCTAAAGCCTCCTCTACCTCCTTTTTCACAGGTCAACACTGACCTTCTGTGTCTCTGCCCAGGCAGAGCAGGGCCAGGCAAGGATAGCAGCAAGAGACTTGGAGAATGGGGTACAGTTGAAAGGGAAGAATTAGGGTGTGGGAACTGGGGCTGGAAAGGCTAATCTGAGCAAGTGGGGACGTGAAGCTCAGAGCTAGAGTAGGGGCAGTTTGTATGTAAGAAGGCTGGAAAACCCGAACTTGGAGTTGAAAGAAGGATGAAAACAAGTCTGAGGTCCTGAGGACTGGCTCAAAGCTGAAGGGAACGAAGAGCAGATAAATTGATGGTCAGAGGTACGGGAGGGACTCAGAGCTGGAGAGGGGGAAAGAGAGAGGACAGAGCCCAGAACAGGAGAACACTAGGGTCCACAGGCTCAAAGCTCAGCACAGGAGAAAAAAGGGGATAAAGAGGGGGCTCAAAGTTAATGGCAAGGAAAGAGCTGAGATCTGATGATGGGGAATGGGAAAGAGGCAGAGAGCTGATCATAGAGGAGTGAGAAGGGGGCTCAGCGATGGTTGGGGAGGAATAGAGGGCTCAGAGCTAATGGCGGAGAGAAGGAGAAAAAGGGACCCAGAGCTGATAGTGGGGTGGGAGGAAGAGGGAGTCAGAGGTAATAGGAAGGAGGAAGGAGGATAAGAAAGGAGTTCAAAGCTAATAATACAGATGGTCGGGGGCTAAGGAGGAGGTTCAGAGACGCTGATGTTAGTGGGTGAGAGGGGGGCTGAGAGCAACAATGGGGAGTGAGGAGGGGGTTGAGAGCTGCTGATGGAGGGGTAAAGAGGGGGTTCAGAGATGATGGAAGGGAGGGAGAGGGATAAGGAAGGAGTTCAAAACTAATGGTGTTAAAGAGGCGTAGAGCCGCTAGTGGAGGGATCAAGAGGAAGCTCAGCACTGGTGATGGAGGAGTCAGGAGGGGGCTCAGAGTTGATGATGGAGGAGTCAGGAGGGGGCTCAGAGTTGATGATGGATGGATTAGGAGAGGGCTCAGAGCTGATGATGGAGGAGTCAGGAGGGGGCTCAGAGCTGATGATGGATGGGTCAGGAGGAGGCTCAGAGCTGATGATGGATGGGTCAGGAGGGGGCTCAGAGTTGATGATGGATGGGTCAGGAGGGGGCTCAGAACTGAAGATGGAGGAGTCAGGAAGAGGCTCAGAGCTGATGGAGGAGTCAGGAAGAGGCTCAGAGCTGATGATGGAGGAGTCAGGAGGGGGCTCAGAGTTGATGATGGATGGGTCAGGAGGGGGCTCAGAGCTGATGATGGATGGGTTAGGAGGGGGCTCAGAGCTGATGATGGAGGAGTCAGGAGGGGGCTCAGAGCTGATGATGGATGGGTTAGGAGGGGCTCAGAGCTGATGATGGAGGAGTCAGGAGGGCTCAGAGCTGATGATGGAGGGTCAGGAGAGGCTCAGAGCTGATGATGGAGGTCAGGAGGAGGCTCAGAGCTGATGATGGAGGGTCAGGAGGGGCTCAGAGCTGATGATGGAGGGTCAGGAGGGGCTCAGAGCTGATGATGGAGGAGTCAGGACAGGGCTCAGAGATGATGGAGGAGTCAGGAAGAGGCTCAGAGCTGATGATGGAGGAGTCAGGACGGGGCTCAGAGCTGATGATGGAGAAGTCAGGAGGAGGCTCAGAGCTGATGATGGAGGAGTCAGGACGGGGCTCAGAGCTGATGATGGAGGAGTCAGGAGGAGGCTCAGAGCTGATGATGGAGGAGTCAGGACGGGGCTCAGAGATGATGGAGGAGTCAGGAAGAGGCTCAGAGCTGATGATGGAGGAGTCAGGAGGGGGCTCAGAGCTGATGATGGAGGAGTCAGGAGGGGCTCAGAGCTATGATGGAAGGTCAGGAGGGGCTCAGAGATGATGGAGGAGTCAGGAAGAGGCTCAGAGCTGATGATGGAGAAGTCAGGAGGAGGCTCAGAGCTGATGATGGAGGAGTCAGGAGGGGGCTCAGAGCTGATGATGGAGGGGTCAGGAGAGGGCTCAGAGCTAATGATGGAGAAGTCAGGAGGAGGCTCAGAGCTAATGATGGACAGGTCATGAGGGGGCTCAGAGCTGATGGAGGAGTCAGGAAGAGGCTCAGAGCTGATGATGGAGGAGTCAGGAGGGGGCTCAGAGCTGATGATGGATGGGTCAGGAGTGGGCTCAGAGCTGATGATGGATGGGTCAGGAGGGGGCTCAGAGCTGATGATGGAGGAGTCAGGAGGAGGCTCAGAGCTGATGATGGATGGGTCAGGAGGGGGCTCAGAACTGAAGATGGAGGAGTCAGGAAGAGGCTCAGAGCTGATGATGGAGGAGTCAGGAGTGGGCTCAGAGCTGATGATGGAGGGGTCAGGAGGGGGCTCAGAGCTATGATGGAGGAGTCAGGAGGAGGCTCAGAGCTTGATGATGGATGGGTCAGGAGGGGGCTCAGAGCTGAAGATGGAGGAGTCAGGAGGGGGCTCAGAGCTGATGGAGGAGTCAGGAAGAGGCTCAGAGCTGATGATGGAGGAGTCAGGAGAGGGCTCAGAGCTAATGATGGAGAAGTCAGGAGGAGGCTCAGAGCTAATGATGGACAGGTCATGAGGGGGCTCAGAGCTGATGATGGAGGAGTCGGGAGGGGGCTCAGAGCTAATGATGGATGAGTCAGGAAGGGGCTCAGAGCTGATGGAGGAGTCAGGAAGAGGCTCAGAGCTGATGATGGACAGGTCATGAGGGGGCTCAGAGCTGATGATGGAGAAATCAGGAGGAGGCTCAACCCTGGTGATGATGGAGTCAGGAGGAGGAGGCTTAGATTTGATGATGGAGAGGCCAGGAGGAGAGCTAGGCTTGAGGATGGGGGTCTCAAACCTGATGATGGGGGGGATGGAAATTGAAGGCTCATTGCTGAGTATGGGGGGCTGAGGAAGGAGCTCTGAACCGGTGGTGGAGGGGGTGGGAGGATGAGGATCAGCCTTGAGGAAAGGGGGGTGAGGTTGGGTCTTAGACTTGATGACGTAAGGAGCAGGAGGAAGGGATTTAGCCTTGATGATGGTGGGGTAAGTAACAGCCTCAGACTTGGGGACAAGGGTACAAGGAGGGGTCAGAATAGTGATCCAGTAGGGCTGAGCTGCCATGGCAGCTATGGCCTTTGACTGTTGGCTGGGGGGCTTGAGGAGAGACTTCAAAGTTGGTGTTTTGTCAGGAGAAGGGGGCTCGGAGCTACCCCTTAAGCTGCCAATGGCAGGTGGGCGAGGAGGGGGTTCCGGGCAGCACCAAGAAATTCTGATAGCCTGTAGGTGAGGAGGGGGTTCCGAGCGGCCCCCAGAAATGCTGATGGCCTGTGGGCAAGGAGGGGGCTCCCGGTGGCCCCCAGAGATGACTGAGTGTAGGCTTGGAGGAGATTGCGAGGGACCCCCAGAGAGGGTGATGGCCGGTGGACTCTGAGGGGAGGGGCCCCCCAGAGGTGATGACTGCCAGTAGGCTCGGAGGAGACTGCGAGGGGCCCCCAGAGGGGGTGACAGCCCGTGGACTCTGACAGGACTCCGAGGGGCCCCCAGAAGTGATGATGGTGCGTAGGCTTGGAGGGGACTTTGAGGGGCCCCCCAGAGGGGGTGACAGCCTGTGGACTCCGAGGGGCCTTCGAGGGGCCCCCAGAGGGGGTGATGGCCTGTGCACAAGGAAGGGGCTCCGAGGGGCTCCCAGATGTGATGACAGCGCGCTGGCTCGGAGAGGCCCCCGAGTCTGCGAGGGCGGGGGGAGGAGGGGGCTCTGGCTCTGAGCCACCGCCCCCGAAGGTGGGGGGGCGAAAGGGGTTTTTAGAGCGTAGGGCGCCCACGATGGCGGGCATTAGGGGAAGGGGCTCCTTCGCCAAGATGACGGGCGGCTTGTCCGAGGGGTCCGAGCCGACCATCATAGGAGGCCTGGCAGGGGGGTCGGGGGCCACAGTGCAGGGTGGCGGAGGCGGGGGCTCCCCCAGGATCACGGTGGGGGCTGGGGCAGGCTTTCGGACAGGACTACGGAGGGCCAGGTCTGGGGCCCCGGGGCACCGGGGCTGGCCCGGGGCTGCGCGGGGAGCGTGGCCCGGAGAAAGAAGGTGGGCTGCGCCGGGGGCACGCAGCTGGTGAGGGCGGGGTGGTGGGGCGAGGGCTGGGGGCAGAAGATGAGCGGGCGCGAAGGGGGCTCGTTGCTGAAGATGGTCGGCCGAGGGGGGACCTCGGGGAGGCAGAGGAGCGGGGGGTGGGCGATGGCCTTGGGAATGAGCAGGATGGGAGGAGGGGCGGTCGGTGGGGGCTGCGGCAGCTTCTTGTCCGCCATGGCCGCAAGTCCCCTGCGCCGTTACAGAGTGCCGGGGGAGGGGGCGGGGAGGGGCGCGAGCCGGGCTGCGGCGGGGGCGGGGCGGGGGTCAGGGAATACCTGGCGTGCGAGCACCTGAGAACCGCCTCCTCCCAGCTGCTGCCTCCGGAAATGGCCCGGGCCGGATGGGCAGCGCGCCTGCGCAAAGGCCACGCTAAGACTACAATTCCCAGAAGACCCCGCTTCACGCAGGCCTAAGGAGGCTCCTTTCCCACCCCTTCCACTTAACGGGTGTCTCCATAGCAACTGCCTCCGCCCCGCCCCGCAGTACCTCCTGGGCGAAGAGGGAGGCGGGACCTGATAGAGCTGAGGTCAGCGGGGCGGAGCCAACCATCAACACCTCTAAGCCTCTGTTTCACAACCTGTCAAATAAAGGCATTGGGCCAACAAATCTTTCAAGTCCACTCTGTGAATGTGAGGGACTGTCTTCAACACCAGCCTTAGACACTTGCCAGCCACGTGACCCAGGGTGAGGCACTTGACCATTGTCTGCCTCAGTTTCCTCATCTGTAAAGTGGGCATAATAATAGCATCTTCCAACTAGGGTTGTTGTGAACCTCACAAGAGATATTTGTGAAATACTAACAATAATTAAATTAAATTAAATAATAATAAAAATGCTAACCTCAAAGCGTGGATATCATGCTAACTATCACGAGGATAATGTCATTTTTTACTTTGTATCCCCAGAACATGCCTTATAGGTATGGCATATAGGGCCTGGGCCTGTGATTTCACGTGGGGGGGCCCCAAGCTTCTGGGTAATCAGGAATGGCAACTCTGGAGCCCGACCCCTCCCCACATAAGCAAATAAGTTTCTTAGTTCATATTTTGTTAAAACAAAATTAATAACATTACACTTTTATAACACAAACCTTAAACTAGAATAACAGGTACATATTTATTTTAAAAAATAAACCATTACCCTTTTCCCAATATGTAATATCAAAAAGCAGACTGAGAGCAGTCACTTAAACCAAACAGATATTTATTTAATTTGTTTAAAAAAGAAAAAGAGTCAGATTGCCCTGAGCACCGATCTCGTATATACATAGCCCAGTTGTACACTTTAAAAATAGGCTTAGAGGGAGGGGGCACTGTCTAAGTCAAAATGGGAAAATATCAAGGGTGTTAGAACATTATGCACTCTGTTTAATTCTAAAACAGTTTGCAGTCATAAGCATCCTTGTGTTTTTGCACAAGTGTGTTTGCCACAAATGTTGTAGTGTTTCAAAGCAAAGTCAGTTCTACATTCAGTGTGGTCCAAGATGGAGTTGACTTTGTTCATCCCTTTCAGTAACTTATAAAAACAATTACCACAATAATAGTATTAATAATGCAAAAATAATTACCACAGTGATATTAATAATTAATCACATAAAACAATTGCCACAATCATATTAATTAATGACATAAAAATAATTAGCATAATAATATTAATGCTTTTCAGTGCAAAGTGTCTCAAAATGTGAAGTTATTAATGATACTTCTATTCTTAATTCTTTTCCAAGGAATAATCACTACCAATGTTTTGTCTTTTATAACAGCTACAACAGAAAAATTCCATTTGACACAAATAGTATATTCATGAAAGGTAGGGAGATTTATATTGTTTTGCTTGATAAATCAAAAAAGTTGTTTGTTATATCCAGTGCTAGACTTAGTTCTTTTGTGGTCTCTTCAAACTTAAGCTTGACTTATTCAGAATCAGGAACAAGCCTCAGCCATCATGTCAAAGACACATCAGGCATCAGAAACTGATGGACAGGATCAGTACAACCACTTCCCACGTGGAACAACATCAATATTCTATCCTTTCGCATGCTCAAGGACCAGGCTACTAGTTTTGATCTTGGCACCAACATTAACACTTAAATGACAAAAAAAATGTCTATTAAGCCTTTTTCTTCAGATAGAATAAGGCTAAATGAATCATATGTGTCTATGGCAAGTTAATTCATTATCTATTTATGAAATGTCTGGGTAAACTAAAATGAAGATTACTTCTGTAGAATGGTAAAGTAATTAATAAGCAGCTCTTTATTGTTCTATTTTATTCGTGCATCTATTTTAATGCGAAAACATCAAAGCACTATAAGTATCCCCAATTCTAGATTGTTCATAAATGCAATCACTCGCTCTTTCTGGGTGACAATAGGAATTTGACAGCCTTGCCTTGATTCACTTAGAGTACTCATTATTTTGACAATTTCTGTTGAACATGCAAGAGAGGAAGACTTTGGGTACAAAATGAATTTGATCAATCTTCATTCATATCTCTGAGAAAAGCAAGAATTAGTTCTTGTGATTCAAGCAATGTTCAGACTACTTTGGCATAAGAAAACCAGATAAAAGTTCCCTATACTTTGCCTTCATATCATCACACAATTTTGCAAAGAGCTTTCCCTTTGGTGGACTAATTTGTATAAAGTTGATTAGTCTTTTAATAATCTGAAAACATGTAGCTCCCACATATTTCTCCAGACAAGTTATTACATGAGAGGCACTTTCAATCAATTGTTTGTAGACCTACATTTGATCCTAATATTAATTGAAAACCTTCAGTGCAGGATCTAGTATGATTTCCCAAATGATATCATCTTTATTTAAAAAAAAACCTGTCAATTATACTGAAAACTTCTCTGAATCTAGGATTGCCATCAACAAGTTTGCAACATAACAAATCTTCCCTAACATCACTTTCTTTTTTGAAATTTTATTGCTCTTTTAAAACTTTTTCATATTAGCCATATTGCAAAAGAAAACACACATGCACATACACACAAAAAGAAAAATGAAGAAAGTAAAAATATGCTTCAATCTGCAATCAGAATTCATGAGTCCTTTCTCCAGAGGCAGACAGTATTTTTTCATTGTGGATGCTTTGGAATTTTCTTGAATCATTGTCTTGATCAGAATAGATAAGTCATTCACAGCTGATCATCGCACAATGTTGCTGTCACTGTGTACAGTGTTCTCCTGGTTCTGCTCACTTCACTTTGCATCAGTTTATATAAGCCTACCCAGGTTTTTCTGAAACCATAATCCTCGTCATTTCTTATAGAACAATAGTATTCCATCACAATTATATACCATAACTTGTTCAGCCATTCCCCAATTGATGGGCACCCCTCAATTTCCAATTCTTTGCTACCACAGAAAGAACTGCTACACGTATTTTTGTACATATAAGTCCTTTCCCCTTTTCTTTGATCTCTTTGGGATAGAGACTTAGTAGTGGTAGTGCTGTGTCAAAGGGTATGCACAATTTCATTATCCTTTGGGCATAGTTCCAAATTGTTCTCCAGAATGGTTGGACCAGTTCACAACTGCACCAACGGCACATCGGTGTCTCAATTTTTCCACATCCTCTCTAGCATTTGTCCTTTTCCTTTTCTGTCATGTTAGCCAAGCTGATAGGTGTAATGTGGTACCTCAGAGTTGTTTTAATTCGCATGTGATTTTAGATAATTCTTTCATGTGACTATTGATAGCTTTATTTCTCTGAAAACTGCCTGTTCATATCCTCAGACCATTTATTAAATGGGGAATGGCTCATATTTTTATAAATGTGGCTCACTTCGCTATATATTTGAGAAATGAGACCTTTGTCAGAGAAACTTGCTGAAGAATTTCACCAGTTTCCTTTTTTCCTTCTAATTTTGGCTACATTAGTTTTGTTTGTGTAAAACCTTTTCAATTTAATGTAATCAAAATTATTTATTTTATATCCACTGATGTTCTCTATCTCTTATTTGATCATAAACTCTTCCCTTGTCTATAGATCTGACAAGTATTATTTTTCCATACTCATCTAATTTATTTATAATGTCACCCTTTATGTCTAAATCATTTTTTCATTTTGACCTTATCTTGGTATATGATGTGAGATGTTAGTCTATGCCTAGTTTCTTCCAAACTGCTTTCCAGTTTTCTCAGCAATTTTTGTCAAATGGTGAGTTCTTATCACAAAAGCTTGGATCTTTGGGTTTATCAAACCCTAGTTTACCATGATCATTTACTACTGTGTATTGTGTGCTTTATCTATTCCACTGGTCCACTGCTCTATTTCTTATCCAGTACCAGATTGTTTTCAGTCTATTTCAATCTATTATTGCTTTGTAGTATACTCTGAAATCTGGTACTGCTAGCTGCCTTCACAATTTTTTTCATTAATTCCCTTGATATTCTTCTCCTTTTGTTCTTTCAAATGAATTGTATTATTTTTCCTAACTCTATAAAGTAATTCTTTGGTAGTTTTATTGGTATGGCACTGAATAAGTAAATGGACTTAGGCAGAATTGTCATTTTTATTATATTGGCTTGGTCTACTCATGAATAAATAATATTTCTCCAGTTATGTAGATCTATCTTTATTTCTGTGAAAAGTGTTTTGTAATTATTTTCATATTGTCCCTAGGTTTAGGTAGACTCTCAAGTATTTTATATTGCCTGTTGTTATTTTAAATGGCATTTCTCTATCTCTTTTTGCTGGATTTTGTTGGCAATATATAAAAATATTGATGATTTATGTGGGTTTATTTTATATCCTACATCCTAATTGTTTCAACCAGTTTTTCAGTTGATTCCGTAGGGTGCTCTAACTATCCCATTATATCATCTACAGAGAGTGATACTTTTGTTTCCTCCTTGCCTATTTTTATTCCTTTAATTTCTTTTTCTTGTCTTATTGCTATAGCTAGGATTTCTAATATGATATTGAGTAATAGTGGTGATAATGGGTATCCTTGCTTCACCTCTGATCTTACTGGGAAGGCTTTAAGTTTATCTCCATTACAGATAATGGCTGCTTTTGGTTTTAGATTGATACTACTTATCATTTTAAGAAAGGCTTCATTGATTCTAATGCTTTCTAGTGTTTTTAATAGGAATAGCTGTGATATTTTCTCAAAAGCTTTTTATGAATCTTTTGAGGTAGTCATATGATTTCTGTTGGTTTTGTTATTGATATGGTCAGTTATGCTTATAGTTTTCCTAATAATGAACCAACCCTGTGTTCCTGGTATAAATCCCACCTACTGTATGTTCTTTGTGATATCTTGCTGTAATCTCTTTGCTAGAATTTTATTTAAAATTTTTGCATCAATATACATTAGGAAAATTG